CCTCGTTTGGTTCCGTGACGCCCGGAATGATTTGATCTAGATGCCGAAGTATGGTCTTTTGATTGCGAGTCAATATACAGCGATAATTTCTAGGTCCCTGTTGCTTGTCGATGGTCGCCTTTTGCCAGCCTTTTTTATTGGGATCTGTGTAGTCCCGTACCATGACTTTCTCGCCTTCTAAATGTCTACTTCTGCACCCCCTGTGATTTCTTTGGGCTATACACTGATCCTGGAAAAGCTTCTGCTGGACTAAGGGAGGCTTAAGCAAGCTAAATCTAGTTTTAAGCTCTCTACCTAGTAGTAACTTCGCCGGTGTTTCACCGGTGGCGCAGTGCTTGGTGCTTCTATAGTCAAAAAGGAAGCGGTTGATTAAAATATCTATGTTACACCCCTGCTCCTTTACTAACATAGCTCCTATTGACTTCTTGAACGTTTTCACGAAGTTCTCCGCCTGGCCATTTGTGGCAGGGTGACCAGGTGCAGTTAAAACATGTTTTATGTTGTTGGCTTCTAAGAATATTTTAAATTCCGTGGATGTAAACTGACTACCATTGTCACTTACTAACACATCTACTAGGCCATACCTGCAAAAAACTTCGCGTAAGCGTGAAATAGTAAAGCTAGTGGTAATATCCTTTGTTTTAAAAATCTCTACCCACTTGGAGTACGCATCGATTACTATCAAAAACTGGAAATTGTGCACCGGACCTGCAAAATCCACATGGATTCTGGACCAAGCCCCATCTTCTGGTGCCCAGAGTATGAGTTCACTTTTTGGTGGGCTGGGCTGGCAGAACCTACAAGGTGCGCAGTTAGCGATCATTCGCTCTATATCTTGGTCTATTCGGGGCCACCAAACATATGACCTAGCTAAAGCTTTTGTCTTCACTATGCCAAAGTGAGAGTAGTGAAGCTCGTTTAAAACCTTCGACCGAAGTTTGGTGGGCACAACTACTCTATACCCCCATAATAAGCAATTATATTCTACCGATAGTTCCTTACTCCTGCTTATGAATGGAATGTATTCCTCGCCTTTTAATGCTTGTAGGCTACCGCTATTCAGGGCTTCGCATACCTTCGACAAAATTAAGTCACGCCTTGTCTCCATAGAGACCTTTTTAAAATTCAGATTAAGCTGATTATTAGTACTGATAAACCCAACGTAACCACCTTCTACGCTGTTTCTTACTGATGCTACTTGCGGAAATCTCGAAAGATGGTCTGCGAAGTTTGTAGACCCCTTTATATGCCTGATCGAATAGTTAAACCCTGATAGAATAAATGCCCATCTTTGCAGTCGCGCCGCCGCCATAACAGGTAATCCTTTGTTCTCTCCAAAAATTGCAACTAACGGCTTATGGTCAGTCTGCAACTCGAAATGGTTTCCCAAGAGATACTGTCGGAGTTTTCCCACGCTATATATTATGGCTAACGCTTCCTTCTGTATGGTACTGTAGTTTCTTTCTGCCTGCGTTAAGGCACGTGACACAAATGCGATTGGTCTGTACTCTCCCCCGGCTACCGCTACGTTAGATGCGTCGGTTGATAAAATAATTGGAAGGTTGGCATCAAAACGCACTAAAACAACATCAGACGTAATCTCCTTTTTTAACAAGTCATACGACCCTTGACACGACTTTGTCCACGCAAATTTCACACCTTTTCTCAATAACTCGTACAGGGAATTCATTTTGTGGGCAAAATTGGGTATAAACTTAGCGTAATAATTTGTCATACCTATGAACGCCCGAACTTCTGATACGTTCTTAGGGCAAGGCGCTTCCAGCACCGATGAAATTCTCTCCTTACTTTTTCTTAAGCCATGCTTGTCTATTATAAAACCTAAGTATGCTACTTGTTCCTTGAAAAATTCCGACTTGCCCAGATTTAGCCTTAACCCGACCGACTTAAGCTTACTTAGTACCGCCTCTAGTGCTTCTAAGTGCGCTTGAACATTAGGACCACCTATGATAATATCATCTAAATAGTTTATTACGTTTGGAATGCCACGTAAAAGATTTTCAATACTCCTTTGAAATATTGCCGCGGCGGGCTTAACCCCAAATGGCAATCTCGTTACCTCAAAAAACTCCAAGGTGCGTACTCCAAGCGCACAGTAGCTGTAAACCTTCCTCAAGAATCAGCTGATTATAGGCGTTGGATAAATCCAACTTAGTGAAAAGTTCCCCCCTTTAAAGTAGCAAATATTTCCTCGATTCGCGGCAACGGGTACTTGACATCGGCTAAAAACTTGTTAATGGTAGACTTATAGTCCCCACATAATCGCAATTCACCGTTTGACTTAAGGAGCGGCACCAGCGGCGTCCCCCAGTCAGAGGTTTCTACCTGCACCAAAACACCCTTATTTACCAGCTGATTTATTTGCTGCTCTACCTTTTCTTTCCACGCCAATGGCACCGGCCTTGGCTTACAGAAAATAGGTGTAGGATTTCCTACCAGACTCAATTTGACCGTATGCTCCCGGTATTCGCCTAGTTCTTCCTTAAATACCTCACTAAAGCGCGATTTAATCTGTTCTAGGTGGTTGTTTACTACGGTAATCGAATTAACTCTAGCTAGTCCTATGCCGAATTTAACCATGAAATCGCGACCCACAATACTTGGCCCAGACGTATGACACACTACTACCTTCAGCCTATGCGACTGTCCTTCATACTCAACTAAAGGATGAAACTCACCGACCACGTCAATACTCTCTCCATTATACGCTGTAAATTTATCCGCGCACGGGCTTAGAGTCTCATTCGGGAAGATAGCGTCGACTCTAGTTTTTTGGCATGAGCGAACCGGCAGCACCTGTATCCATTACAAAGCTCAGACAAATTCCATTTACCTTAATCTGCATGATAAAAGGGTCAAAAATCGTGCTTGAAGTTGGTACTGAGGTAACGCTATAAATAGATAAATTAGATACCATGTTAGATAGGTCATTACATTGAGTTTCTTGAACATAATTAACGCCTTCTCTTTTCTCCCCTGCCTTAATTCGCTTACCATTGCAAACGCTCGCCAAATGGCCTTTCTTCTTACACTTGTTGCATGTTCTGTTTTTGTACTTGCAGTCTTCGCTTGTATGGTTTTTCCAACCGCAATGGACACACTTCTTGTTATCTCCCTTGCTGCTGTTATTTTTGCTGAACCGACTATTACTTCTACTTTGTTGCTCGCGTTTTGTCACCCAGTTGACCTCACTCAGCTGCTGTTTTGACTTACATCTTTCTTCAACCATCATCGCTCTTCTTATCGCCTCTTACAAAGTTAGTCTTTCGTCCTCCTCACACAATCGTTCGAACGACGGGCCATCTAATCCCGTAACAAATTTATTTAAAACGAAATCGTTCAATTGGCTGCCAAACTTGCAGTCTCTTGCTAAACTTTTTATCCGAGCATACCACTGCGCTACCGACTCAGTCTCGCCTTTCGTGGCCTCGAAAAATTTTCGGCGCTCTCGATATATTACAACGGGTTTTGCATAGTGCCGTTCTAGAAGTGTACATAGCTCGCCATATGTCTTGCTTGCCGGCAACGTGGGGTCACATAGATCACGTAGCAATCCATACGCCTCGAGCCCCACGGCTTTCAACAAAATCGATGTCTTGATTTTCTCCTCGACGCATGATGTTTCAATAAAATGCGAGTCTAAGAGTTCCTTCCAGTTACGCCAATTATCCATGCTGGGTCTGAACTCCCGCACGCCCGTAGTTAAACTTGTGGTGATTAAACTTTCATTCATGGTTTCGTTTACCATGTTTGCTTGTTATTAAGCGTACTCAATTTGGCAATAATCAAACGCGTGACACTGCGTGGAAGTAATACTTCTACAAAATTCTATAGTGTTTTATTTAAAACCTGCAGAGTTCGTATTTTCAGAGCTCGTCGCCACTGTGATGTTCTCAGCTTCAGTGTAATTCCCCGAAGGCTTTATTTTCCTCTTCTTAGTATACACATTCTCTTGACACTTACAACTAAATCGCCAATAGATGGCAGTACACTGTTTATCATAACTACACATAACCCAGTATACCACACTAAGTGAAATTGAAGTGTTTAAAATATACAAATTTCTAATAAAGACGGAAAACAAATTAAACGGTCAAAAACTGAGTAACCTATTTAGTGAAAAAAAGACAAAAGAAATATTAAACGGTCAAAAACTAAATCACTTATTTAGAGAAAAAAAAAGCAAAACAGCTCACCAAATAGAGAAAGCTAAAAAAGCAAATAGTTTATTAGCCCAATGAGATACTGGGGTTTGTGAGTATAATCTAATCACTGTATATTTCCCTTTTATTTTTCTATTTTTGCAGTAAGGAAGTCATGGACTCTGAGGAAATCAGAAAGTCACTAACGGAGACGAATGGGGCTATCAATGCCATTCTCTCCCAACTGAAGAAAATCGACCAACGGCTCAAAAGTGTGGAGTCGAAAAAGCACGACGAGTCTTTTTCAGGGCTCAGTAGTAATCTGGAGAGGCTAGAAGCCCAAGTAGGGGAAGTGCGTAGGCAGTCCTTGGATAGCAGGCCAGAACCGGTTGTAGAGCCGCTAGTCAGTCCTCGGACGGAGGTCGAGCTAGCGGAGGTGGCTAAGCTGCCGCACTGTGTAAAAGAGTTGCAGGTATTCGATGGATCACGGGAGCACTACGGCTCCTGGGTCCATAGTGTTGAACAAGTAATAAAGGATTATGAAATAGTGCGGCATAAGCCGATTGACGCAGCAATCTTGAGGCACATTAGGGGGAAGATTAGGGGCGCAGCAGATTCTGCATTACTTGCGCACAATATACTAGATTCCGACTGGGACAGGGTAAAGGAAATCCTTTCCCTGCACTATGCGGACATAAGGGACATAGAAACTTCAGAGCAGCAACTGACGT